TGTTGAGTGTGAAGTGTGGAGTGTAAAGTGTAAAGTGTGGAGTGTAAAGTGTGGAGTGTGGAGCACACAATGCGACACGTCTGAAGTGCTGCGCTTGCCACGCAAAATGACGATGGAGGTCTCCAAAGTGCTGCGCCTGCCACGAAAACTGCAACTCATCTTCTGAAAAGGACACAAGAGTATTGCGCCTGCCACACAAAATGACATGACAACCTGCTTTGACACCTTCAAAAAGGATAGGTTTTGCAGCTTCCTCCATATACACGGCGATGCCAGAGGAAAACCAGAGACTTGAGACGTCACATGTTGGAGGCTCAAAACGAGCAAAAATGCGAGACTTCCTCCAATTTTCACACTTCGTAGCTTCAAAATCGACGTTTTCCTACGTTTTCCTATGAACCTCAAAATTACTACGTCAAAATCAATGTTTCGTGCAAGGCTTCCGTCAATATTTCATCACATCTCACAAAATGCCACGCCTGCCAGAGTTTGCACCTTGTCGCCACTTGACGCAACCCTGACAACGCGATTCGCAAAAAACACGCAACACGACACGTCTAAAGTGCTGCGCCTGCCACGCGAAATGACGATGGACACGTCCAAAGTGCTGCGCCTGCCACGAAAACTGGAACGCACCGTCTGAAAATGTTTCAAAAGTATTGCGCCTGCCACACAAAACGACGACACGTTATGAAACATGTTGGAATGTCACAAAGTGCCACGCCTGCCACGCGAAACGAGGCTACACGGCATTGGAAACCTCCAAAAGTGACCACTGTTGCAGAACTCGCCATAGGCACGGCCAAGCGGGCCTCAACCCCCAGACCCCAAGAGTGAAACGGGAACCCTTGCTATGGATTCGGGAAAAGTTGTTTACCATTCACTTTCTATAATGGTACCATATATTACCTTATAATGATACTATATCAATTATTGCCTATAATATATACCATTATTATCCATTATTACCATTGATAATTACCAATATTACCACTATTACCATATCATATTACCTTATAATAATGGTTCTATATGGTTCCATAATGACCATTATTACCATTGAGAATGACTCACCCGTTGCGGGAACATCTTCGATCGCGCCTGGCCCAACGAGGAGATCGCCGCCTGCTTCCGTTGGGACCCCGCGCGGATGGACACGACCTGGCGGCCCACCAGGGCCGGTGATGTCATGGGATTTCAATGGGATTTCATCGGTGATTCGTAGGTGATTTCATGGGATTTCATATGTGATTTTATGATGATGTGGTGTATAATGGGATCATGTGGGATCTACACAATGGGATTTGAATGGTGATTTATTTCATGGGCTTTCATTGGATTTCATCGGTTATTTGATGGGATTTCACCAAAAAAAAGTGATATGATGGGACTTGACCCTCTGGCAATTTCTTGATTTTGAATACATAGAAATTGATTGAATAAACCATGGATTTTGGATCACCCACACAACGAATGCGAATCTAACAATAACACATTGAAGAATGACACAACCAACACTGGAGCCTAAGCTGATTGAAAATCCAATCTTGGAACCATCCACACAAAGAGATGTTTAGCTCATTTAATATATCCTGATTCACTGCGTATATAGCCAAATATACAGTGAATATGCAGTATTATATCCAATATTATATCCAGTATGTGATACAGCATAATATAATCTTGATCCAAATATTAGAGTAGTTTGATACTATACAGCCAAGGTCCACCCAGAGAGGAAGGAATACACCAATTACATCCAATTACAGGTATTCTGCAGCACAAACAGTTGAGGCTTGAGCTACAAAAATGAGATCTTACTGTGAACACTGGCCAAGGTGAGATGATAAGGTTTTGCCCAAATCCCAAACCCTTAAACCTTGTGATGATGGCAAGTACATTGGTATTTCCCCAAAAAACTGCAAGGCACCCCAGAACCACTTTTCGTTAATGGGGCAGTGATTGATCGAACGCTGATTCGTGTGACATTGGTTTCCTCCCCAATTTTTCTAGTGTTGAAATGGCAGCAAATCTATGACCAGATTCAACTGGGACCTTGGATCACAGGGAATGGTTTCAACATGACAGATTTTCAGGGTACCCTCTGGTAAATTAACATAGCTATGGAAAATCACCATTTTTAATGGGTAAATCCACTATAAATGGTCCATTTTCAATTGCTATGTTAGTTCACCAGAGGGTACCCAGCTAAAGGCCAGGTTGGTTCCTAGTCATCATCAGCATATCCCAAGTTGTTCTTGGCTAAATCTTGGGGTAAAATTTACCCATTTTTGGACCAACCCAAATCCACGAGTCATTGGTTACATCCATAAGGTCCTAAAATGGGGGTACCCCTAAATCATCCATTTTAGTCGGATTTTCATGGATTTTCCATTTAGCACCATTTAGCGGTACCCATGTTTCACTCCATTTTGCCTGGCTAAGTATACCCCACTTTGACCTGACCAGAACAGCCACAAAACGCAGTGGGGTCGGGGTCTGGCCTGGTCGGGCTTCGCCCCCTGGACGCTCAGGACTTCTAACTCCATGACGAAGTCTTCAGATATTGTGGCAAGGCATCCTGTGTCTGGATATGGAAAGACAATGTGAACAATGACTGATATGCCAACAGTATGTAGTGACAGTATCCACGCCTTGTGAATTTGTGGATAAAGCAAAATGAACCAGGTTGTTCAGTGACTGGAGCTGTTTTGGTGGATTGGTGGAGCTGTCTTTCCTTCAGTTGGTCTTTTCACCACAGAGAAGTCCTTGAGCCACCGGCGCTTTCCACAGCTGGTCATCTCAAGTTTACCACTATCCCAATATTACTAGTATGCCAACCACAGCATCGGTTGCCAGTGTCTATATTCCAAATAGATAATTTAGATTAATTTAGTTGTTTAATATTATCTATACGTGATATACTACATTATCAAAGCAATCCACATCACACTTGATAAATATGTAATTCCTTCTCTCAACATAGAATACCTTCCAGAAACGTGGATTGGAATTGGAACTGTTCCTTTTCGGGGCCCACAGGGGGGGAGTTTGATATTCGTTGGCATGGAATATCTGAAAGCATAAAACAGTTTGTTTGCGTAGACATCCATTAGCTGGGAGTGTTGGTCGCACTGCTGCAATGCTCTGTCCACACCTCAAGACGCCTTCCGGGATATTCCCAGTGGATTTTCTGGTGTATGCCCGCATTGCCAATTAAAAACGAGACAACCATGAGACCCATTTTAGATATTTTTAGATTGGGGGTACAGTACTTTTTAAAAACCCCATTGCTACTGTCATTGTTTTAGTCCTCTTGTATGGATCCAAAGGAACAGATCCCTCCCTCTGACTCTGCCTAGCTAATATCCCATTGAAACTAGTAGGCAAAAAACCCGCCCATGTTGCAACAGAGACCAAAGTTGAGAAACAACAAAGTGCTTCTTGGTTAAACCCAACACTTTGATCAAGTGCAGGTATTCATCAGCAGAATGGGCAAAACACACAATCTCAGGTACATTCTTCTTTCTCATCACAACTAGGGACAACCGTCCAGTAGAGCCTTCCCAGCCAATTTTTTTCACCTTTGATCATTGACCCTTGCACACGATGACGTGTTTCTGCATGTTTCTGCCAAATGATACGGGCACGGACCTTTGCCCTTGGCCTACCGCCGAAAGTCCGTCAGCTGCGAGGCGTAGCTAATGCCAGAGAAAAAACAGTGGAGCAACAAGACAAATTGTAAGAAGCAAAAGATGCACATAGATGGCATGTGTATGGCTTTGTCATGTTTTGCCCCCCCCAAAAAATAGCCCAAGAAAGGGAGAAAAACGAGGTATCTAGGAATCCCGTTGTTCATTTTCAAGTTCCCAGTTAAATTGTTGGTTCCTGAGTGAACACAGTTTCCAGACATATACTATACATTATATATATAATATATATATATAATAACAACAATAACAACAATAATAATAATAATACTATATAATTATTAATAATAATACCAAAAATAATAACAATCCTAATAATAGTAAAAATAATCACAACTATATATATATATACACACATACATACTACATGTATGCTGTATATATATATACACATACATATACATACTACATGATATACATATATATATATGTATATATATATATGTAATATACAGGATACACTATATGTATCCTCCTGTGAATTTGACGTCGAGGGGTCGGGAGCTGCCTTTTTGTAGGGATGGCCGCTCAAATGCCTACAAAAAGGTTTTACTTACAATCAGCGCATCTACAAAATGAGTGTGCCTCCAAAAAAGGTGTCCCTACGGGGAACACAAATTTCCATGATGGCGATGTCAACATGCCTGCATATATACAAATGTATGTGTATATAGATATAATATACATAGCATTACCTGGTAGATGTTGAGTGCATTTATTTCCAACAACAGGCACAGATCATGCACCGGGCCTCTGGCATAATCCAGTTTTTCATCTACAAGTAGCATATTCTGATGTGAAAATCTCTGTGGCTGTGGCATCTTTCTAGATTCTCAAATGACAATAGCATGCATTCACGCGCTGAAGAAAGCGCACATTTTCGTGGGCAACTGACTGCCAATAAAGCCCGAAAGACCTGGATACAGTGAATATCCATACTAGCCAGGTATTGTACATGCGTGTGTGTATAGTATATATATATAATGTACATATATATATATATATGTACATTATCATTGAATATCATTGACAATATATATATATATATTTCATCATGTTTGTAGAGCTTATATATGTCAATATTTCCATACTTCAAGATCATGTGTTTTTCCCCAAATAGGCCGTCCAACTCATTCCAATATTATCGAATATTTTGCTCCAGAACTGGTACTTCTATTCCCACAACAAACTTTCAATACCAAGCTGCACAAAAATCCAAATCAAATCCATTCCTGGAATATGGGCTTCATGGCACCAGCGCCACAAGTAGAATGCAACGGTCCCAGCAATTCAGCAACAACCTGCTTTTGCAGCTGCAAAAAAAGCCGGTGAATTGGAAGTTCATCCAGTGAGCAGATGTGGGGGATAAACAACACACAGACCATGGTGGATGAGGGGTGTTTAATGTTGGGATTGAACTACTGGTGCAACATGAACGCTTTCAACAGCTTCAGACGCACGGTCTCCAATGGAATACCACTAGCCAGATTGGATCATCAATGAATATGATTGAATATCAATCAATATATATATATATATGTTATATATGTTATGTATATATATATATGTTATGTATATATATATATGTTATGTATATATATATATATGTTATGTATATAACTATATATATATATATCTATTTAATTCTATTTATAGTATGCTAATGTCTGCTATGTTTTTTCCTCCCTCCTGACTCCCCAGCAGAACAAACACACCGTCTTTGAAGAATCCCGTTCTGTGGTTCCAAACCGCTGCTTTTCTTCTTTTTCGATGCGTGCTTTTTCCCCGACTTCTTACTGCCTGGGCCGTACCATCGTGCCATGTCGCCATCTCCATGGCGGTGATTTTCCACCACATTTTTCCATAGACAAAACGACCAAAAAACGATGAATCGCTGGCTTTATCTGCCAATTTGTAAGGTACCCTCTGGTAAACTAACATACTAACATACCTATTGAAAATGGCAATTTATAGTTGATTTACTCATTAAAATGGTGATCTTCCATAGTTATGTTAGTTTACCAAAGGGTAATTGATGGATATTGATGGTCCTATTCCCAGGCTGACGGGGCCAAGATTTGACCGGGTTCCACGCTGCTTTCCGCGTCTTCTCTTGGCTCACTTGAGACGCCTCGAGTATAGGATCGGTCTAGCTCCATCTTGACAAAGAAACTAAAAAGTAAGGTTGGGAAATTGGGAAATGTTGGGAAACTATTCTTCCTTAGCTCATCTTAGCTCCCCATCCAATACGGAATATGGTGACAGGCCATCTATATGGACATCTTGTCGGTGATCTTACTGGGTAGACGTAGCCCTTTTATTTTTTGGAACTTGGTGATCTTTAAAAGACATTTGGTACGGTCAGCATTGGTCAACTATGTAAAGCTCCCATACTTTACCTAATTTTGGGGGTCTTGGATGTACCCTCTGGTAATCAAAGATGGGGTTGCTGGAAAATGCCCCATTTCATTCCAGAATTTTCCCAGCTAGAAACCTCCATACAGCATATTTCCCATATTTTCTATGGTTTTCCTATGGTTTTCCCATTGAAACCTAAATTTTTCTTGCTGAAACCTCCCAGTCATCCCAAACTTCGACCTGCACGTAGGGAGAAACCAGTTTGCGCGGCATCGTCCGTTTTGCTGGGACCTGACTGATAGTGGGCTGAAAAAAGAGAAACTACGTGTACATAAATATCCTAAATAAATATGCATATATATATATATATATATAAAATACATATTTATATAACTTTATACACAATATGTGTACGTACATACATTACTTGCATTGCATTGCATTGCATTGCCTTACATTACGTTACCTTACGTTACGTTACGTTGCATTACATTACAGACATACACACACACACATGGTTTCAAAAAAACAATCAGAGATCAGGTTTGGTTTAGGCGGATGAGGGGAAAGATGGTTCTCGTCGATGATAATCTTGCCAACTGGGAAACTTCTTTCAAAGCATCATGAAATTTGGGATTCAACCAGTAGATTCAATTGCTGTACTACCAAAAACAGGGGAAACACAGAAACCCTCAACTCTAAACGCAAATTTTAAAACGAACATCAGATTCGTCTTGCAGCTACATGAGCATGCCACCGATTAGTGGCCTTGTAAGCCCAAAGGGCAGGCTTAAAAACTTAGATAAGTACTGCACATTGACAATTTTGGGAGTATGTAAAATATTGTAAAATGATGAATAAAGGTGGGCTTCTGCAAACAGACTTAGTCGCATTCTGATGACTGGAAAGCCAACAAAACGACAAGTCTTCGATGACTGGGGCCCCCTGGGGGGTCGACGTGGCTCTTCTGGAAGCTTTCCAGGTGGAGTGGCGTAGAACTTGAAGGGGCCTCGACTTCGAACGCGTGCGATTAATCATTGGTGTGCTGATCGAACGGCGGGGCAACGAAAAAAACACAATGGAAATAAGAGTGATACAGTGATAAATAGATATGAATAGATAAAAAATAGATATAAATAGTACATAAAAATAGTTCAATGTTATGAGTACTTCTATGGCAACTATGATTGTACCCCATCAGGGGCAGAATTTTCAATGGAAAATACTGGCATCCCCCATGGCCGAAACATACCAAGGAACCGAAAGTTCAAAGTGTACAGTACTAGTGTGAAGCCAAGTCCAGCAGAATCCATTACTATATCTATATACTATGTATAAACTATGTATATACTATGTACATACTATGTATATATTATGTGTATACTAGGTATATACTATGTATATATATAGTTTGTATATCAATACATGTATGTGTATGTGATATAGATGTATATATGGTAAATGGATGAAATTACTATTATACATTTCTATGGCAATGGGTCAAAAGTGGCTGCCCAAGACCATTGACTGTGGCTGGTTGTATCCACCCATCATTTGTCACTTGAGGTATAGCCATGTGGATAGCCATGTAGATATTCCAAAAAGGGGTTATCAACTGATCATATTTCCATGGATTCACAGATGGCAGTGTGTCAAAACCAATAGTACCCCTGTAGTTCACATCAAAATAGCTGGTGGGATGTTCATTCCCCTAAAAATGCTATTAATAGGTATTGATCCATACCCAGATAAGATGCAACACTAGATACAGTACTTTACCATTTTGGATCATTTTAGAACCTTCGAAATCCAGCTTTACTGCTCTGAGCCCGGGGGCCGTCCATTGCAGAGGAGTACCTGAGTACGGAGTTTCCGTAACGGCAAGTGATGATTTTATTGAGGAAAAATGGGGAAATAATACCTTTCTTTTCTTGGCATAGCTAGCTGTAACTAGCTGGAGACGAAAAATGAGATAATGGTTTGATCAGCAAATTTTCATAGGGAATACGGGCATATAATATATGTGCATATATATATACATATATACATATATATATATATATACATATATATATATATACACATATATATATACATATATATATATACATATATATATATACATATATATATATATACATATATACACATATATATATATTATATACACACATGTATGTATACTGTATATGTACAAAGCAGTGCAAAGTAAAGAAATTCCATTCTTGGCATGACTCCCCTAATTCTCCCTTTCCCACACATCATTTGTGGTGTTTGGCCGCGCCTCAGAGAAGGTTCAGGTGCAGCCAGCAGGGGGAACTGAGACCATCAGCCATGCTGAAAGCTCCGGAAGAAAAACGATAGGTCAGATAAACCATGGTAAACCTATAGGTAAACCTATAGGTAAACCATAGGTCAACCATTTTTAAACATAGCTAAACCATGGTACCAGCCCCAGAAACATCAAAATGGATCAAACACCATTCCTACACAGTCCACTCCTTGGGCACCCTAGCCCGAGGCCGGTGCCGAAGCCACCAGAAAGCCCTGAGTTGTAGGCGATCATCGAAGGGGCCGACCTGGGAAGTGGGCGACTACCAGACTCTGATGTAGGAAATCTATGGAAATCGGATTGGCTGGTTTACCTGATACATGTATATCTTTCAAGAGTAAGCACGGGTCTCTACACATTACAACACAAGAATTGAATGGTACATCATAGGATATCATCAGCAACAAAAAGAAGGTGTTTGCCACGATTCACACTTGACGCACAACATATGGATATTTCAGGCATGTCATCAACATCAAGAGGGTATTTTTCAATTTGCAGTACATAACCCCATGGGCTAGTGATGAAGAATTTCCAGGTCTAGGTTGGATTTCATAAAGTGGTGGATGGTGAACCGACAGCAACCATGTAGCTGTAAGGACAGCAGGACAGGTACTGATGGAAAGCCCCAAGTTTTTGAACCTTTATAGATTAAAAATAAGTATATAGAGTAAACATAGGCATGTTTGATTCTTGGGCTCGTCACACTATACACTGCCTGCAAACAACCAAATAATCAAAATGTCTTGGAAAAAGGGGGCACGTGTTGTATCACCAGTGTGCCTGAGGAACTGTGTTTCTCATGCGGATCAATTTGGAATCGTGCACGTCCAAAATCTGCTCAACAACAAAGACGAACCCGTTATTGATGACCGTCCAAACAAGCGACTTAACTCATCATGATAAAAAGTTGCTAATTGGTTTTAGCCAAGAGCAAAACATCACTCTACCCCATGGCCTCAAAGGACCATAGCGAAAAAACAAATATATCCTAAAACTGCATGGTTAGTTTCAATCAGTCTGAACTCTGAACATATCTCTTCAGAGTTTCTACCTGTTTGTCAGGAATTTTCCCAGAGATATCCCAGTCATAAAACATCTATTTTTCCCGTGAGAAAATGTCCCTTTTTGTGACCACATCCTCGTGACCGGTGCCCGCCGCTGCCAAGGTGCTGCAAAGGATTTAAGGGATTCAGCAGCATGGAATTCGTCGTCGGGAGTGCCGCCCTAACTGGACGCCACATCTGTGGTGAGAAGATTTCCACTACCCTCTGGTTATAGATGGTTTACCTATTAAAAATGTTGAATTTCCATGGCTATGTTAAATAACCAGATGGTAACTGGATATCAAATTGAAAGCCAAGGGGGTTGAACAACACATAACCAAAACAAAGAACTGAAGCAGCAACCAGTGGCAACCAGCCAGGTTGCATCGTGTGAAATGCCCCATCTCCCCATGAGATCATTGATCATTGGTAAATCACAGAGTCAAGGCCTTGATTCAAATCATGAACATTGGATTGGTATACATCATAGTCATAGTCATCATAGTTGATCATGATCTACCATAGTCCATTTAATTGCAACATTGGATTGATAGTTGATCAAGTCATCATAGTAGATACATAGTAGATAGATAGTTGATGAATGTTGATGATAGTTGATCAGTTTGCATATTAGTAGATAGCCATTGATATAGTCATCAATGGCATTTGATATTTGTAGATAGTCATCATAGTAGATAGTTGATTGGCAGTTTTTTTCCATCTAAAATCCCCATCGTAGTTGACCCCAGACCAGATCGCCACTGAGTCCCAACGTGCCACTGTATGGGTCCTGCCACGTGCAAGGTCTTGGAGCAAATCTGGTCCATTCTGAATGGTATCTATAGACAAAAACCCGGAAAAATATAAAACATATGTGGAACACCCATGATGTCCCTTGAATGTTAATGTACAGGAGGACACACTTCTGTGCAATTTTCATGGTTTATCACATGCACATATGTTCGAAACATATCAAATTATGCACACTTTAAGAACTACTATGTGCTCCTCGATTTTCTTTTTCCGGAATGATTCCATTTTCTTTTTCCATTTATGTTGAAGTCGGCCAGTGAAGTTATGGTGCAGGTCCTTGGCTACCCACTAAGTTTCATGCCTTTTTTGCTTGCAATTGTGAGAAAGTCACCAACCAATTCAACCAACCTACAGATTCAGAACGAGTTGAATGGCCTGCAAGAGCTGTTGTTGCCAAAACCCTGTCCCAGATGATTTGTTTAAGATTTGAGGGTTTCCATCAGTGCGATAACCCCACGCCATACAAATTGCAACCCAACGAATTGCCATCATCGGCTACACTGCTACACACCAATTTTTGATCATTGTTGTTTGTTGTGTTTTGCCGGTCAAATTCAAATTGGCGCTGGTAAAACCCAAGGTTCGCTGGTAAAATCCATTTATTTTCGGGTTTTTAATCCCAAAGTCTTTGTTGATTGTCCATGATTGTCCCCATTTGTGTGGGGATCTTGTGGGCTATCATCGGGTCCTGGCCCATGGGTGGAACCTGAGAATTTCACAAGCCCTGGATCTCACCACAATGGGAACTTTCATGACGAAGAACACGGGCACAACAAACATGGCCATGGCACCGAAATCGTGCAGAAACTCACTGCATGAATGTGTTGGCTAGAACAAGTGCCCGCAGACATTCCAATTGTAGGTTGGGAAGATGGCATAAGCAGGTCAACAATGAGAACAAAACCAAACAGCACTGGGCCTCCACACAGTGAAAGAGGCACTGCTTGCGCCTTGCGCCTCTGCAGGGGGGCCTGAGCATATGATCCCTCAAATCATGTGCGATCATGTGCAAATCTCCCTGAGCGACCAGACTGCTGTAGGTACCAGCACCGTAGTAGCCACCATAAGTGTTGGCTGGTGCAATGCTAAAGCTACCAGTGCCAGTACCTCATGAAGCCAGGCGAAACACGGGTCTGCTTCAGGATTTTGATGGTTTGGAGGTAGTGAGAAATCCCAGGTCGCAGATTTCCGGAACCCCAAAACTGCAACGACACTGAAGACAGTAGCATCACTCTGCAAAGAAAAGTGATGGAACTTGCACGCGACTTGACTCTTTCGGAACCGCTATTACAAGTGAGAACACCCCAAGTCTCACATTGCACTTATTCTGAACTGCTCTGCTCTTCCCCAAAAATCTGCCCAATCCCCGTCGACACCAGCCATTCAGACATGCTGCCATAAGCGGGTGCACTGCTGTAGTTGCCACCGGACACTGTGGTCACGCCGCCCGAGATGGATCCCGGGGTATATGCAAGACCACTGGAAATGGTGCCAGGGGTATAGGCAGCACCAGCTACAGTACCACCGGTGTAACTTGTTCCACCAACAACTGCACCGGTGTATGCACCGCTGCTGGGGCTGTAGGTACCTCCCGCAAGGGTGCCAGGGGTGTAGGCACCAGCTAAGGCACTTGTGCCACCCGTGTAGGCACCAGACAAAGCGCTGGTGCCACCTGTGTAGGAGCCAGCTGCTAGGGTACCACCGGTGTAGGCACCTGCGGTCAAAGTGCCGCCAGAATAAGCACCACCGGCTATGGGGGCACCGCCATAGACGCCTGCCATGGACTTGGTGCTGGCAGAAGGGCTTGCGGCCTATGTTTAGAGTATTTTGTTGATTAAATCCGCATAGATCCGCATAGTATTCCATTCTTGGGGGTGAAATTCCTTCCGTTCTTTGGGTTCCCCACTTGGGTGTGCATCCCAGCTGCTAAGTGAGTCATGGGCACATAAAACAACCAACGTATTTTTTTCCATTTTTTTCCGGATATAGCCCATTTCTCTACGTATACATATACAGATATGGTTTATTACCCACTTGCGAACCACTATATGATCAATTTAATGTATATAACCTAAGTATTTTTTCACTTTTTTTTTCCGTATTCTGCACATGTTTACGTGCAGATCATATCATTTCCGGACAAGAACATGCACCACAATATGGGAGTTTCCTGAAAATAGGGGTACCCCAAATCATCAATTTTAATAGGATGTTCCATGAAATAGACCATCCAGCTATTTTGGGTTTCCCCACCATATGGAAGACATTCTCATGGTGAAATCCACCGATGGCCGACCGATCCGAGCCTGCCGGGCTGGCATAGGTCTGCACACTAGGGCCGGTGTAGAATGAGCTAGCCTGAGGACAATCACAGATTCGCGGCAATGGCAAGCGTATGCAGGTTCTGCATGTAGTTACATTGATATACATTGATATGTGTATATATATATATATATCTATGTGTTGTTTTGTATATATATATATGTACATGTGTATTTATATATTATGTATACATAGATGTACACACACATATATATATATATATATATAGATAGATAAATAGATAGATAGATAGATTAGATAGATAGATAGATAGATAGATAGATAGATAGATAGATAGATAGATAGATAGATAGATAGATAGATAAGTAAGATAAGTAAGATAAGTAAGATAGATAGATAGATAGATAGATAGATAGATAGATAGATAGATAGATAGATAGATATACATGCATATATGAACATGTATCATCATGTATCTATGTATCTATGTAGCACAATGCACATATGTGTGTATATATATAATGTATCTATATAATGTATGTGTATATGTACATATATATATATATTTATACTTTATATATATATAATGTATAGCACCAGCTTATATGCTTGAGTTTGCAGAACCAGGGATCTTTTTTCCCTTCCAACAGACTGACCCTGACAGCATCTATGATTCCACTGACCAGGAGACTCCCTCCCCATTTTGGGATTCACATCATTCAAATAAAGCCGCATCTCATATTTGATAGTGAGTTTTGAGGTCATGTTGCCATCCAACAAAAAATCACATTGATATGGAAAACCAATCCTTTATTTGTAGATTATATATTTCCTTTGGAAACCATGGATTTTCCATATTCTATGTCAGTTTCCTGACAGTATGTATATTCCACTATACCACCATTATCCCACGTATCTGCCCCAATCAATTCACCACACGGTGAACTGACATTTCATCCTGCACTAGTTGGTAGATGTTTTATCATGGTTTATATCATGGTTTATCAGGTTTATCCCAAAAAATCCACAAGGTTTCATAGTTACCCACTGGTGCTTATGATCTTTCCGCGGTATGATGCCCCCATCTTGGCCGATAGCTTCTTGTCATTTTAGGTAGCAACCCCAACAAATAGAAAAATAATTTCCCAATAAAATATAGTGACCAATTATTTTTCTATCTATTTTGGGGGTTACTATAAAATCTATAAAGATAGAACATCTTCCCACACATTCCTTCCAGCCATTCGTGGCTCATTCTCGGGAGATCTCGCCCAATTATCAGCTGTCCGAACTATACTGACCCCTCAAAACATAGCACAGTGACATCCTAGTAAAAATAGTGATACATCATAATCCTACTAAAAGGTAGTGATACATCATATTATTTCTCTATACTTTTCTTTTTTTTGGCGTTGCTATATCCACAATTTGGCACCTCCCCACCCAGTGCCACATTGGGCAGGCTCGACACCTGGCATGGATTTAAGAAGATTAAACCATCATTTTATCTTGATTTTATGGTGATCAAAAGGGGATTTAATGGTGATTTCATGGGATTTTGTGGGATTTTACTATTAACTTTGTGATTTCATCAGATGTTATGCACATTAATTGGGAGTTAGTGGGGGTTTAGTGTGGATTTAATCAACACACCGATAATCCAGATTGAACAAATACATACAAATACATGAGTACGGTACATGTTTCTGCGATTATTGCATAACCAATAATTGGGTGATATCCTGCACAGCAAGAAACCCACCTTGCCATGAATCGGGGGTTGAAAGATAAGACTTTCCTGTTTGGATCGGGCGGTTTTCCGAGTCTGAGTGATGATAAGCTGCTGGTAAACTAACATAGCTATGGAGAATCACAATTTTTAATAGGTAAATAATCCATATCATATACATATATATATATACATACACAAGTGGCAATTTTCAATAGCTATATTAAATTACCAGAGGGTAGTTGCTGGATGTATCAATTAATGATACTTAATGAGGCACCCATAATACATGGTTTTTCATGCGCGAACACCAGCACACTCTGATGTTTGCTTGAGCAACCAAACCGGGTCCTAGTGTGACAGGAATCGGCGGTGGAAAAGGTGGAACTGCCATATCTGCAGCTTGCAACTGAATTCAGGAACTGGATCAACGCCTGCCACAAACCCGCACGTTTCATTAGATCACATAGGTGTTATATATATATATACATATATATATATATTGATTATATATATATATTATATTGATTATATATATATTGATTATATATATATATATTATATATATTATATATATATATATTATATAATTATATATATATATTATATTATATAATTATATATATATATATATTAATTATATATATTAATTATCTATATTAATTATATACATATATGTACACATGTACATACCTATATCTACATCTATATCACCTCGTCAACAGCCTCCAAGTCGCGCAAAGGTCACCTGTCCAGTGTATGGGGATGCTGTATACATTGCGTCACCAGGCCAGCAGGACCTCGTCGCGAGCTGTCAATGGTTTCATGATGTCAATGGGAAAAAAATCCTGGAGATATTCATGGGGATATTTAACATTTACATTATATAGTTATATATAGTTATGTATATAGTTACATATATATATATAGTTATCTGTATATATATATATACATATTTCTATATATACATATATTTCTACATATATTGTGTATATATATATATACGGGTATATATATATATTTCTAGATGTATATATATATATATACATATTATAAGTGTATATTATATATATACGTATATACATAGCCATATAGCTGTACACCAGGCCCTATCACCCCCCTCCATCCGCCCTGGGAACCCCCCTTTCCCTCTTGTGGTAGTGGCTGTGGTGGTGGGGCGGTGGGGGGTAGTAGTTTTGTAAATTGGTAGTCAGCAGATATATTGTGAGGTATATTGGGAGCTACATACTGTGGTATATAATATAGGTATATAGGAATATAGGCATGCTGCAATACATTAGGTATGTATTAGGTTATAACAGGTACGGTATATACTAGGTTATAACAGGTATATATTAGTTGTGTAGTGTTAGGTATATATGGAGTGCTAGGTACATATAGTATATGTTATATGTATATGTTATATGTATATGTTATATATCAATATGTTATATGTATATGATACGTGTGTAAATATACACATGCGTTTTCTATTTCTATGCTATATATATATACATATGTTTAATATGTACGATATATAATAACATATATATATACATACACATATGTTTAATAAATTGGGTATAAACGTACACACGGTTTATATGTGTGGTAGGTGTGTAGGCGAATAGTATATGGTATATAGTGTCAGGTATGTAGGCATATATATATATATAATCATATATATATATATATGTATATGGTATATAGTGTTAGCTATATTGGTACGATATAAGCAATATATAGGTTGTATATAGGCATCAATGGTTTATATAGTATGTATGTATGTATATATATATATTCATATTAGGTTGTAAAGGTTGCGTATTTGGTATATTATATAGTCTTAGGTATATAGGTATGCTATCAGCAATAGGCTGCAAATAGGCATGCAATAGATGATAGTTTGCAGGTAATATGTAAGATAGTACAGTAGTTGGTACGTAGGGATCTTATTTTTTAAGCAGCATAGCAAGTACAACGAGTATCACAAAGCAAGATTAGATTGGTACGGGCATTGCTTGGGATCAGGAGGGTAGGTGCAGGTGAGGGGCAGGTCAAGGGGAGGGCAGGGTCGTAGTGTTTAATGTGGGGGGGTGTGTGGGGGGTTTACCCAACCCTTTGGGGGGAGGGACGGAGGACGGGACCATATGTATGTGTGTATGTGTATATATATATATGCTGCATAACTAACTATATCCAACTATGCATCTCTCGGAAAATGGTTAGGATTGACTGATTGACCCATGACATAGCCGTTCAAATGGGAAAAAATGGCTTCGTTTTCGGACAAACCCATATGAAAGGGGCAACTAGCTGGCTGTATGTAGATATTAATCGCAATGAAACAGAAACAAAGACTAGCCAACAATGCCAACAAAACCAAGTTCAGATTGAACATCAGGGAAACAATCTATAGTCTATAGTAAATGAGATATGGATAGATATGGCATGGTCGCAAGTCAAAACCCAACCCACGGTACTCACAACTTGCCTATCATCACTCTTAACGACATCCTATCATTCGTTTTCTTGGAGGGTACGCAAGATTAACCCCGTTACGACTGTCACAAGAGTTAGCTACAAGTTAGCTCCACTATTTACACATGTCCATGACAACATGAATGTCAAGTGCCACTTGCGTTGGTGATGCAGAGTAAGTGATGAACAACTCATTCAAACTAGGCAATACACCTTGCCAGGACATATTGTGCCGCAAGCCTCACTTCGGATATGACTGTGTAAAGTGTAATATGTTTTTCTGCAATGCAGGTAGGGCTCTGACAGGCTCTGACGCAATGGAGAAAATGGGGACCCATTTTGTAACATTTATGTCTTAAATGTCTTTTTCAGAAATCATGACACATGGTCTGAGTGGAATACCCCATATAGATCCATATAGTTGTAGTACTAACCCCCAATTGCTAAACATCTTTTTTCGCTGCGATCCCCCAGGGCCACTGAGAAGTTGACGATCTTTGACACGTTGAAACCGCGTGTATTCGCCCCGTTTTGTGCCAGCTGGGCCAGAGACGTTTAGGGCTCTGCGGCCCCCGGAGGCTCCCCAAAAACGCGGTATTTGGGTGTCGGAAGCTTGAGTATACCATGGTTATAACCCAAAATTGACATCAAACAATGGGGAAAATATGGGAAAATGATGATTAGCCACTGGTTTTATGGGGTTTCGCCGACTTTCAGGCAGTTTTCCCAGTTTTTCAGACAAGCCCATTTCGAAGCACCAGCAAGATCTGAACGTCGTCAGTATGTCCGGGTCGCCCAGGACAAGCGCCCATGCGATTGAACTAGCTTTGAATCAAGCATGCCTTTAAAGCTGATATTTAAGATTTCTTGTATGTATTATGATGTATACTTGATGTATTATGATGTATTATGATGTATTATGATGTATACTTGATGTATTGTGTTCTTCTACAAATCATTGATGTATATATGTAGCAAAGTTATCCCTCGGACCTGGTGATTTTTCGTCTCGCCCATCGCTGGTGAGACCGTCTCCTAGTCTTCTGGCACTTCCGACTTCAGCAGGGCTTTGAGCCCTTCAAAAATGATATAAATTCATCTGGTTGGTGGTTTTAACCATATATTAAAAAAACCAGATATACAAATATATATACACATCTATATATATATATATATATTAGCCCTTTAATTCATCTAGTATGGAAAATAAAACATGTTTGAAACCACCAACCAGTCATTAATATAGAATAGTTGTCAGAAGATGTCAGAAGCACCAGCTGATGCACTTACTCCGAATCTGAGTCTGAGCTGATATGTTTGATGATGGCGCAACGACATCAGTATCAGTTCTGGCCCATGAATCAATGGATTGGTTTAGTTGGGAAAATCTACAGGAAACCCATGGGTTTTTACATGTTTTTACCATCAAATTTGATGGGGTTTCCGGTTAAAATTTTCCCATCTTCCAATTCTATGAATGCATCCAGAAAGGGCAAGTGCCATTTCAATGCAGCTTTCTACAAAACTAAGCAGTGGATCTGTAGTGAAACCAGGATCCTTTCGTTCGTCAACATTTTTATTTTCATTGCGAAGAAAATGAAGCATATGACTCAGATGACCCTACGGTAGCATTTCCATAACATATCTGACATATCCATTTCTAATTTACTCATTTAACTTATAACCTATCAAATAGTTATAATCCATTTCTAATTTAATCATTTAACTTTATAATGTATCAAATAGTTATATATATATAGATATAATGATATATAAATCAACATCATTATCCAACCTATCCAGCCTGCCATCTCAGATGAAGCTGGAGGGTATTACCACTTGTGTCATATCAAATCTCCATTCTTCCTGGTGAATTTGGAACAAAAAAAACTCTTGTAGACTCCATTACAATCTCATTTCCATATAATAATCCTATCATGTGGTTGGGAAATTCTTAGTAGCTCCTTCGCTCCCGATTTTGTTTTTTGAGAATACGGATAAGCATAGCTTCGCACCGTTCCCTCCTAACCGCTGGATAGTCCCAGAAGTGGTTTTACAAAACAGTTGCAGTATATAAAAACAATGGTTTCTGTGGTTTTCTGTAACATTTCCCAGAAACCAATCCATTAAAATAGACATCTTGTGAATTTCAGTGGCTTCCATAGGATTCCATAAACCGTTGGTGCCATCGTGCCCTAACCGGTTCTGTTGGCCCCCTCATGGGTGGTGATTCACTTGGTGAGTCACAACCTCCAGCAGTAGACGATCTTACCTCCCCTTGGAAGGTCGGGGTGGGTTTGAGCTTTTGGCAAACTCTCAATCAAAACAATTGTTTTTTTCCTTTTTTTTGCAAATGGGTTTGCAATTATCAACCGTTTTTCCATGTTTTTCCTGGTAGAACTGAGGATTTAAGCAGCCAAAATGGGAACAATGCTGGGCCAACAGTTCCTGACCTAGGCATTTCTCTTGCCCCATTGCGGAAGAAGTGGCGGGAACAACAACCTAATGACCTAATCACATTTGGAGTACGGACCAATTTGGATAACAATTGTGCTACAGCAGTCCCTTGGGTCGAACTCGACTGCCTTGGCACCGACTGCTTTAACTCTGGATATTCAACATGGCAATCAAACACACCATTTCCAACACAGTACGCCGGTGTAAATGTATACAAAGGTAATTCATCTATAAACTTGATTTATACCATATAGAGATATACCATTTATAATTCATCTAGATGGGTAACGTATAGATACCATATGGAATCACCATGGGTCCCCAACGGCTACCCTGCCACGGGTGTGTCCTGAGAAGTCTTATGCATAGGACCTTGTTTACATCATGTTGTGCTGAGTACCATCCGATCATGTAACCTGGCTATGCAACATCCCATTCTCAACAGGTAAATCCATCCATAAATTATCTACTTGCTGATCTGGTTGGTGGTTTCAACTCTACCCCTCTGAAAAATGATGGACTTCGTCAGTTGGGATGATGACATTCCCAATATATGGCAGTGTGTCAAAACCTTGTACCCCTGGTGAACATCAAAATAGCTGGTAAATGGATGTTCATCCCACTAAAAATGTATCTATAGGTATTGATCCATAGCCATATGGAAAGTCATAAAAGTCCATGGTTCCAAACCACCAACCAGATGTTTTTCCATTGGCAGTACCTGAAGCAAAGACCCCCACCTCGGCAACAAAGGCGCGTCATTTCCGTCATTTCCACTTTGCGCTCATGTCAGCTGGACAGTCTGGGCAAGGAATTCCCAGCGGCTGCCCTAGTGATACCATGTGATACCTATCACTGTGAGGTTGTTGTCAGGTTGCTATACTTGTACTAGATTTTGTCCGAAATTCAACAGCAATGAACTTAAACGTCAACCCTTAAAACACATGTGAGGCTGGAGATGATGTCTATATTATGGAAACATCTGCATACGTTCAAAGCCTAGTACCCTGCTGTTCACATGGAAATAGCTTTGACTCTGGACCCATCTCGGCAAATTGCAATAATTCCTCATACTTGAAGCACAAAAAAACACCCCCGAAAAGGATGCCGAACAGTGTGAAAGCAGGATGTTCGATGATATTTGCCAACCATGTTCCCAGGTTTCCCATTTTCTATATACCTTCTGGTAATTTATCAATATTTATCATAGCTATGGCAGCTGACAGCTATGGGCCATTAGCAAAACGGCGGCTCCCCTCACCTGCACCTGTGGAGGACTTGGATGCAAACGATCAGCCACTCCTGGGCAGATGAACAATGAGTGAAGTACAGTTTTCTTTCGGACACGACGAATTCCCTTCGACATCCCCCAAGTATGTTGTTGATTATATATATATATATACATAATATATATATACATAATATATATATATATATATACATAATATATATATACATAATATATATATACATAATATAATATATATATACAGTAATTATATATATATAATATTATATAATGAACATTCCATGAACAATCCCACTAATATCATGAATATCCCATGAATATCTCAATTTTCTTCGGTAGATGATCCCATTTCACTCCTCTCATCCAGCCACGTGCCCCGCCTCTCATGATCTCAATGAGCAAGGACCTGTCCAATTGCTCCAGCGCAGGCTGTTGACCTGAGATACGATGGCAACACCCTTTTTTTACAGCGCAACAGTGGAATAAAATTCCAACAGAAATTGGGATTTCATAGGAATTTATCCAAATTTGATTTCATAGAATTTTATCCAAATTTATCCGAATTTATCCAAATTTCATTCAACGGGATTTCACCAACAAACGTACAGTAGGAGGATTTCACCAAGGAAAAATCATGGATTTGGTTAAAATTAGGGTGCCAAGGGCCAAACGACAAACAAGTGCTCATTTTCAGTATAAAAGAGACATCCAATTTTGATCAATTTTTGAATCCTTTAATTTTGACCCAAAGTTAAATGGGGTTCACCAGTAATGTAACCAGCTTTTGTTTGCTCTTGACTCACGCACAATTGTTGAGTTTACCAGCAAACATGGTCATGATGGTCACCATGATCAGCATGGTCAGCTCTCTAAATTTCTAGCCAATATTCCTCCCATATGGGGATGGGTCAAAACCCTGGTACCGTGCCGTGAACCCCAAAATAGCTGGGATTGATGGATGTTCATCCCACTAAAAATGTGTCTATACCCATATTCCAGCCAGCTATGTGCATCTAGGCACAAACTGTGTGGAAGTTGGAGATGATGAAATCCAGGGCCATGCTTCGAACAGCCTGGCAGCTGGTCATGGCGGGATGAGCTTTCCTAAAATGGGGGTACACCCAAAAATCATCCATTTTAAGAGGATTTTCCATTAGCCATCCCATTCGGGGATCCACCATTTATAGAACCCCCCATTCATTTTATCCTTTTTTCAAGCAAGGCACATGTGCATCCGCAGTTTGAGACCAAGCTACGAATGTTGAGAAGCCAGCGTCTGACTGGTCACCCGGATGGTTTTGAAGCCTTCAGACTCATCTTCTGCACATCCAGCCATGCCTATATACATCATCAAACCACCTACTAAAACAATCTCAAGCATGAGATCTACATGATTACTTCTTGAAGATCCAAAAAGGCTGCATACATTAGCAGTCCCCGCTTGCCTACAACCTGCTGTTTGATAAAATCAATTCGAGAAACTGGGCAGCGAAGGCAATTGGTCCCATGAGAAAACATTGAACACCACATTTACTGGTTAAGATTAAACATGCAGCTTGCGGACCCAAGCTAGTTGTCAATTTTCAGCCAAGAAGTAGTCAGTTGGGCCGCCGTCATGTTTGAAACCACCAACCAGTCTTGAAAACTACCACCAGCTTCAGGACTTCAAGATCCAGAAAACTATGTACGGTAAACCCTTTAAGAACCTTCAACAAATCCCCAAGGTCGTCTTGGGTCGAACAGCTGTTTCCAAGCTCTCAGGTCGCTAAATGGGTCTATCTGAAAAACAACATCAAATCGGGTACCGGGTACCTTTTAAAAATGCGTTGTATTTTTTGTTTTCGTATTTTTTCTGTTTGACAAAATTAAACAACCTGGGGATGGGTCAAAACCCTGGTACCTAGTGAACCCCAAAATAGCTGGGATTGATGGATGTTCATCCCACTAAAAATGTATCTATAGGTATTGACCCATACCCACCCATTTTTCCAATTAACATCACCAATTGGATACACCACAAAAATTATGTGTCCCCATGGCCTGAGTGCCCTCCACGTCCAGCCGACTGGATGCTTCAAAGAGCTGCAAGACGTGGGTCTGCGCGCCAAAATGACAGCCAAAATGACCGCCAAAATGACATGAATCAATGACCGGAGTGGGAGAAGTTTGGGGCTTGTCATTGGTTTCTCGTGAAATAGGAGGTTCTGAGTTCTGAACCTGGTTTATTGGGGCTTGTTAAAGCCCATGGGGATACCAATCAGCGAGTATAATGGGGATACGAACTTTCCATGGCTCATATCCTTCGTGCAGCTTGTCGCAGCTCACTTCAGCCATCATGGATTCAGCTTAATTGTGATCGCAGAAATGATAGATCTTATCCATACACCCCAATCATTGAGAGTTCTACCCCATTTTGAAGAATCAGTTATGTCTCGAATTTTGCCCTAGCTTTGGAGCTTCATTGACCGAAATCCGCCGAATCCCCAACGCCGGATTCGGTGCCTCGTTAAAAGAGTCCTTGATGCACAATTCGCAAAAATGCTTCAGACCTGGAGATAGATGCTAGGAATGACAAGGATGGTGAGATGTCTATCTTGATGGGAACTTGTTTTTCTGAACATCTTCACAGGAAACGCTGGAAACCAAGGATTTTCCAACTTTTCCCAAGAAAACCCATCCATTTATAAAGTGAGAGATGATAGGTGAAGTTCGGATTCACTGATGCAAACTGATGCAGTTTGGATTTCTAGAACTGGACGATAAGGCGGAACCGAAGCACTGGTAGGACTGGTAGGATAGCTGGTTGTGTCTGGTCAAATAAGCCGCAAAATAGCAGTAGCATCAAATACCATTAAATACCATTCAATCTTATACGATCAAATGCCATGAAACTATGAAATACTATTAAATATCATTGAATAGCAGCCAGCAAGGGTTGGAGAATTGACACTTCGATCATCCACTGCAGCCAGCGAGCGGTGGTTCGTCAGGCCATAGAATGATGAGGCATCAACCTGCGTCGGCGGCGTCCCAATGGGGAGCTCTCCAATGTATAATTCAAGTAGTAAATGCAGAGATCATCAATCATTTTATGTCTAAGGACAGAGGAGCAACTTATGCCAACTGTATTATATATCTGCATATATATATATGTTTAGACTTTGAATGCGTTGAATATATTGAATATATTTCAACACCTTGGTCTCCTAACATCAACAGCCAGGCGGTCTTCTGGGCTTTTATGTCTTAGGGCAGGGGGTCAAAAGCCTGGCTCCTGGATTCCCTTGGTCAACATCAACATTCCCCCACCATACCTGCGGGGTGTCTTGTCTCCTCCTTGTCGCAGAACCATCTGTTTCGCACACCCATATTAATGTGTGATGGTCAAAAAATGGCACAATATGGATATATGATATATGTATATAAACATAGATATATAATGATATGTTGATATATAATTATATATATATACATACTGGCTGGTGGTATACCTACCCCTCTGAAAAATATGAGTTCGTCAGTTGGGATGATTCTTCTCAATATATGGAAAGTCATAAAAGTCATGTTCCAAACCACCAATCAGATGTTTTTCCAGTTTTATAGTTTAATATAGTTTATATACTCATCATATCCCAATTTTGCATGATTCAATCATGATCTTCCCCATTTTTAGTGATGGGTTATGGTATGTTATGGTCATCCCACCATCACTTAGGGATTCCTGACTCATCCGGGACCATCTCCCGTCTGAGATGCCCCACCAGGTACATGGCAGTGTGAGGTGCCAATATGCCTCGCTGCACCAAACTGCTCATGCAGAAGATATGCACCAAACATATCCAAAAAATGGGATTTAAGGGGATTTAATGGGATTTTATAGGGATTTAATGGGATTTTATAGGGATATACCCTCTGGTAAACTAACATAGCTATTCAATCTATTAACAATGGCCATTTAGTTCGTTAATTTACCCCCTAAACATGGTGATTTCCATTGTTAGCTTCAGGCTTCTCGGTTGCTCGGTCACCAGGTGTCAGAACACCCTCGATGTGGGCGGCGATACCGTAAACTTCTGAAAGATGGTCTCACATTTTTCAATTCCCCATCATTCCACCAGATTCTAACCACCCTCAATATCCGAATCATATTATCGAATCATCCTAAGCCTCGTCGATATCCGAATCACCCTCCTTTCAAGCATCTGGATGAATCATCCCACTGGTGACCCACAAAATGTGAGCTTTCTGTTGTCGAACCCAAGAGTCCAAGAGACGTGGAACCACGACGGGTTGGTTCATACTGATTCCATAGGTTGATTCATGTTGGAGTCGTGACAGTTAGAGTTTTCCATATCGTTTAATGCCCTGGTATACCAATATTATATATTCAACAATATTCAACTATCATTCAAGAGAGGAGAACAAACGCCTGGCCACGAATTCATCAAGTGGTCCATTAAGTGCGGGTCAAGATTGGATTGTTCAAACATACTATAGGATAGCCAATTACAACATGACGAAAATGTGTGGGTCCCAGGGTCCCAGAGTGTACATGTTTGACCCATGCCCTCAGACGCTTGAAAGCATCCTTTCTTTGGTCAAAATCTCATATAGTACCGTGGCTCGAGGTCCTGCCAAGCATTTATTTTTTCCAAAAATAGGTGATTTGCATTGATTTGCCCCAAAATTGCAATCTCAATGGCCAAGATGCAACCGCATTGAAACTTCAAGGTGCTTTAAAAACTCCCAAAAACCATGGAAATTTTACCTCTGTTTCCCAGTTGAAGTCTCCAGTCAGCCCAGCACCCGTTCCGGGGCTCCGAGCGTAGGATTTCGTCTCCTGCGTAGAGGAAGTGAAGTAACGCTCGAAACCTGGCTCACGAGCCGTCCACGGGTTGAGTATAGGGCACACGATGAACACATTCTGTAGCTCCAACGCATTTCTGGCAAAAATGGCGAAGGTATTGAAACATTCATATTTACGAACCATTTTGAACATGAGGAATTTTTACATGGCTAGCTTAATTCCTATTTCAGCTGATTAGTATATATATATTATATCCCTATCCTGTTGGTTTACCCCTATTGTTGCTATTGTTGATGGCAGAAACACCATATGTTGTTGCTTAAACTCGTTTTTGATGGTTAAATCCATATCCACCCAAGGCTTGAAGGTGAAATAGTGATCAACTCTCCAAATTGGGACTTGCCCCTTTAATACATTGGTTTAGGAACGTCATGCGCGTTGACATTAAATCCATATTGTAGCCATCCAGGATGCTATTTCGATGATCTATCGACCTTTTGGAGTTGCTGTAACTGTTGGATATCATTCATGACCAACATTGACCAACTATTGGACTATTGCTAGTGATCGTTTTATCCATATGAACTAGTAACCCATCATATCCCTATTCAATCCTCCGTGTTCCAGTGATCTTCCCCTGGATAATCCAATGGATTGGTTGATTTATCCCAACAAGTAGCATTATAAATGATTCATTACTTATTATTATATAACTATTATTAGCATTTCTCAGCTATTATTAACTATTATGAGCTATTATTAACTATTATGAGCTGTTATAACTAATTATTCTTAGCTATTATTAACTATTATTACCTCATTATTCTTATTAAATTCAGTCGCTTTATCCCCATTGAATCACCCTTTCTGTTCCAGTGATATGACCAATGGGACTTCATCCAAGTAGCTCTTCCGCAGTCATGGCCCAGGATGCATCGATCACCAAACGTCCTTCCTGCCAGGACATGCCAGGGATGCTGCGCAAGCTGATTGCCTGCAGTACATGTTTACAAAAAGCTATGGAATTTCCATGAAATTCGTAGGACATGGTCTACAATATCGGTTGATCTTCATGGATTTTCAATATCATAGGTTGAAAAAAACTTGAGGGTAGCTATGGCGTTTCAACCTAACATGTGGCTATGGCGAACCAACATGGGGTAGCTATCAAGCCACGAAATTGTCATTGTCTGGATTAAACCATCCATTTTTGGGCGGTACATATTTGTGAGCCATACCTACGAGGAGATTCTAGCTGCAAGACACAACACGATATCACGAGGAAACACCAGGGAAATTGACAAAAGAACTGTGGATAGAACATGATAGAACCAACAACAAAACGGAGTCATTGTCAAAACTCTGGGGGTTAACCCATCCGTGAAAAATCAGGGCATCGCAATCATAGATAATATTGCTCTTAAGGAACTGCTATCCACCATGATCGATTTGTAGAACAAATTCATCGGTTTCGGTTGAAGGAACAGGTGCAATGTTTGACATATGAGTGGCGGCAGTTGTTTGAGGTTACTGCAAAAGGGGAGAAGGACCTACCACATTTTCCATTCCCTGACTTATTTTTTAAATGCCGCATTGGTTTTGGTGTTTTCCATATAAGATAATTTTTCAACTTTGACCTACCTCATTTGTTCAGGCGGGCGGACCAACCTAGTTTTGAACCTCATTTTGGGTTTAAACCGAACGTATATATTTCCACCGGAAGACTACTATACATTTCAGCAAATAAAGCCATTGCTCATACACATTTCATTCGATGCCTACAGCATGCTCTATAGATGATAATCTATGTATATAACACATATATATATATATATATTTGTATGATGTATAATCTCTCTCTCTCTCTATATATATATATATTATACAGATGAAAATCCATGAAGTCCCTGTCTAAAAGGGCCGCAGCACCTAATCAACAGCCAAATGACATCCCTTTTGGGTGTAGACCATCCCTGATTGGAACTGACATCACCAGTGATTTCAGACATCACTGCATGAATCCCATGGCAAATCTTTGCAAACAAATCAAATCCAATGATATTCATAAATAATCATACATATATAATATATATATATATAGCATCTAAATATTGGATTCATATTTGGATTTATCATAGTTTCTGTTTTGAACAGTGGTTGTTCTTCACCCTGCCAGCGTCGCAGATGTCCCGGCCCGGTCACTCCTGTGATTCCTGCATTCCGCTGGTCAAGATACAAGTCTCAAAGTACCTCTGGGGGGAACAGCTCAGGGGTTGGCTGGCTACTGAAGTTCGTGCAGGGTTTTCCGATATTGCATAAACAGTTGAACATCACTTTAAACCAGGGTCCCTTTTCGAAAAAAAAACGCACACACTGGTGACACACACACTCCGGCGCTATCGGTATGCATGATCGGGGCCTAAACCAACATTGGATCACCATCCCATCCCAGTTTCTTTCATCGCCAAGGTTTGTCATCCCATCCCCGCAAGATCCAGTTTTTTGTGACGAGCCAAAAAACTACCAGCGTTTTTTACCCAAAAATCAAAAGTGGCAAAGCTGACAGTCATCCCCGAGCTAAAAAAACGAATGGAAGTCGCTAACGAAAATCCCATGGTTTCACCGGAGGGTAACCCCCCAAATCTCTCCCAACTTCGCCACTGCCCTTGGCATCGATATTTTTCTCCGCAGTTCTGGAGGCGCGCAGCCTCCTGGCTTTCACCGCCAGACCTGTTTCCATTGGAAACCTCCTCTGGGAGTCCTTGGTCCTTGGTCCTTGGATACACCAAAAAATTGGAGTGAAAAAAATGCTTAAAAATGGCAAAATCTGTGTTTTTTTTGCTGAATTTAATCCATTCAAAATCATACCCACATGGACAGCATGAAAAACAGCTCACAAGATACAACATCTCTTGACATATGATACAACTCCGTGCATGTTTGAAAGATCATAGAACTGCCATTTTCTACTAGTATTCTAGAGGCAACATTCCCATATTCAGAAAATCTTCGCATACCATGTTTTCATCGTACTCCAGACCTGGGTTTTGGTATGTTACTTTGATAGGCATTTCAGCTCAATCTGGAGGGAACAGTTGGCCCACGGCGAATCCACTGAATGCCCCTCCACAGCTTTCTATCCCCTATGTCGTTCCAAAGCAGCTGTGGACGTTGAATGAATTGAAGGCTGCTTTGATAAGGAAGTTTCCTCATTTGTCTACCGAAGAAGGACAGGGTTGTCAAAGGTAACGTTTTTAAAGGTTGGCTGAGTAAAAATTAGCAAGTTTCTTCCCCGGGACCTCACCCAAGGTGAACTCGGAAAAATAGAACCCACTGGTGTGCCCCTGGAAGTTTGGGCTGGCTTTGGGATTGGAATTTTGGTTCTGGCCCCGAAATTTCCCTATGTCGTCTCTATACCAGCCACGCATACTCGGAATTCTTCGCATTCCACAAATTCTTCGCACTCCAGCGAGGGCATCGCACTCCACAGCTAGGGACGTACACATACTGTAAAATCCACGCACTCTGCAAGATCTTCGCACTCCATAAAATCTTCGTACTCGGCGATGTTCTCTTTTTTTCTGTTTTTTTTTGTTTTTTTTTGGGCTAAAATCGCCTGGAATCACGTTTTCTGGAATATGGGCAAGGTAGCGGTTTCGCGTGAGACGTCTGTAGTTTCACATACTATCGCATTCCAGGCCATTTTGGCCAAAAATGACCAAACATAAAAACAAAATAAAAAAAAAAGCTCAGCAGGGTGAAATGTGATAATTTTCTGGTATATGATGGAAAAAACTGGTGTTGGATCCATGGGGAAGGTCGAAGGGGGCCACGCATACTGTTTTATTTTCGCATTCCAGAAAATTAGCGCACTCCAGGGGTGGCATCGTACTCTATCGGTGGAATTATTTTGCACGGAAAACAGGATCGTCGATGATTTGTGTTCCCAGATCCTGTTGTGCAGAGCTCTTTGCGGGGCCACAAAGATGTCAAGAAAGATGGGGATGGCGCTGCTGATGAAAGGCCAGCCAAGCGTGCCAGAACATAAGCTTAAAGCTTATGAATTGGGTTTTGAGATCCTGAAAAGTGTAGATGACAAATTCCCATAAGAACATTATTAATCCATTTTTGGAAAGCTCAACATTTTAATTATGACATTTCCAGAAATTGTTGAAAGTAAGGATCTTCTTTGGGGAAGAACATGTGCAGTCGACAACGTACGTGCCAGAAGAAAAGGAGTACTTGGCAAACTGTATGAAATACAAATTTCACCTGAAAGGGGTCTTCGCAATTCCCTGAAATTTCCCAGCTATTTTGGCATGGAATATGTTCGGCCCTGGAATATGGGCAAGAAATTGCTAGAAGTATTATCCGTTCTATCACTAAACCACTCCACCAAAAAACCTCAAGGTCTGTCTGACAATCAGCTTGACTTCGGCCGCATCTCACTTGATCTTCGGATAGAAATACTGGGAGTGGTTGGTAGCCTCTGCGGTGATTCCACACTGAGCCACTGAGCCCCTTGGAAGTCGGGGACTGGACTGGTCAAACTAATATTTATAGATCATTTCCTATCATTTCCTTAGCAAATCATGGATTTTTCGTAGATTTTCCATTGGTTTTCCTTTGTTCTCGGGTAAGGCCTAGAACTGGGACTGGGAAACTGGACAGATTTGGAGCACAGCTTCTCGGGGTCAGTCCGTACCGCCGCACCTCGTGGAAGTAGTAGATCTTCCTGGGACAGTGGATATGGATGCATACCTTTTAGTATGTATTCGTAGTATATGGGATGTGGTATATATATATGTATATATATATAATATGTGGTGTATAATATAAACCACGCAGTATATAGATATATACGCAGTATATACACATGTGTGATGCACACACACGCACACACACACACACATATATATACACATATATAATGTATTAGTGCACTTGGCATGCAAAACTGGAAGCTTCTATCTTCAACTTATCTCGGCCTTTCTCTGTGAGATACAACTAGATAAACGAAATATACCGGGTAAATATCAGTTGATGTGAAGAGCTTACCATCAGCAGTGCCAAGCTTCCCATTGCTCTTCGAGACATGCTGTGTCCAACCTGCGCTGCCAGGCCACTGGCCCCCGAAGGATTCACCCGAGAGAGTCACCCACCATCCTCCTAAAAAAAGCTGGTTTCAAAGAAAAATGGAGGATTACCCTCTGGTAAACTAACATAACTATGGAAAATCACCATTTTCAATAGGTAAATCCACTATAAATTGTCATTTTCAATAGCTATGTTAAATTACCAGAGGGTAATCCATGAACATCTCAATAATCCTTGAACATTCCAATATTCTCCCAGGCTTCAAAGTCACAATAGTGAGTTTCTCCCATAGGATGGAACCAGGACCACAGGACTAGATCTTTTTTTGGAGACCCGTGGTTTCCGCAGGTGATGTGGTAAACCATGGTGTTTACCATGGTTTACCATGGTAAACCATGGTAAACCCCAAACCATAAACCCTAAACCCAACTGGTTTTCTGGCAGAACCTTGGTCCCCCGGATTTCTCAGAGAATCTTGGGAAACTCTGAACAAATCCACGTTTGTTCATCATGTTTTTGTCTCTATAGAAGGCAGGCCATTTTATGGGTCAATCCACCATTTTATTGGCAGATCCATATCATAATCATATATATATATATACACACTGATATAACATGATCATATTGCTGGTTACATGCGCTATCATGATCCATTACAATATAATTCTATATCCAGATCATATCGCCTTTTTATGTGGATCCATATGATCATTATTGATTGTTTATGATCGTTGTAGTGTTAATGATCATTATATCTCATCATACAATAAACACAATTATCATTATTATAGACATATATAGATGGTTATTATCCATTATCTCGCTCAATGATCCATCATTTTCCATTATAATCCATTAATTATGTTCATTACCAATCCATTATGATCATTATTATCCATAATCTTCAACTCTGATAATAATCTCCATTTGTTATTACATACCATTATTCTTATCCATTATTGTTGTTATCCATAATCCAACAATCCCATTATAATCCATTAATTACGATAATCATCATATACCCTCTGGTAATTTAACATAGCTATTGAAAATGGACCATTTATGGTGGATTTACCCATGAAAAATTGTGATTTTCCATAGTTATGTTAGTTTACCAAAGGGTATCCAGTCTTTCATATCCCATCATCACATCCACATCGCTCCTGGCGGAAGTCCCGACGAGTTCAGCGGCTCCACTGGTGGCGCCATGGCTGGCGGCGGCTCTTCTGTGGGCAGCTTGAAGGAGGCTTTCTGGGTCTCCTGGTGATGGCTCCATCGGTTGAGGAAACCATCCGTTTTTACCGAATTTTTACGAAGTGAACTATGTGAACTATGGGAATTCCGATGTTTCCGGATATTTTGCCCGCCCTTCAGAACCAATTTGTTTTTTTTCATGAGTCAATCGATGAAATTTGGGTTCCAGAATCTGGAAGTCATTAAGCGATGGTCAGTTGGCGGCAGTCTTCAAACGCAGAAATAGAAAGTACTAATGAAAGTACATTGGAGCACTGGTATTCACTGGTACTGGTAGGGTTTCTAATCGGCTTTGCTGTCACATGGCAAGCGATGGACCTACTTCAAATGGCAAAATGATGCATCAAAATTAAAGTACAAGCACTTAAAAAGCAGGTCGGGCTTGGTTTCCCCGTGTCCACTCAAGAGGGGACCAATCTTAGGAGGTCACAGTGAGGCGGTCGTGAAATGCAAGAACTGTTGCGAACGTTGTAGTTCGCTATATGGCGAACTACATGGTTTTGCAACATGTCATACATACATATGTAGCACAGTATATATAATAACCATTTAAGTTAGGTTTCTGTATGGACCTTTAGATCTTTTCTCCTATTTCTACTAGTACTATCTCAGAACACAAAAGAAACTCTATGGGCCATTTGTCGCAATAGTGGGTACATCCGCCAGTGTAGAAACCAACCACAGTTACTTTTCGGCGTCTGAACGTTGAGAGTTGACGGAACAGAACCCAATTCGATGCTGGTCATTCGATGCCAGCAACCTAGAATCACAGCCCACAGCTGAACAGAATCATAGCATGACTGTATATACATATATACATATATACAATATACAATACAATACAATACTACACTACACTACACTACACTATACTATACTATACTATATATAGTATGATATGATATGATACGATACGATATGATATGATATGATACAGTATAATATAATGTAATATAATATGATTTAATACAATATAATATTATAATATAAAAATATAATGTAATATATATACTAATATATAATAATATACAATAATATACTACAATATGATATACTGTACTATATTATACTATGATGTAAATGAACATGATATAATATTATGCACTGCAATATGATATAATATAACAACATATAATTTTATATAATATAATATAATATGATATGATATGATACAATATAATATGTGATACAACATAATATAGTATAATACAATATAATATAATATGTGATATAATATAGTATGATATAATATAATATAACCTGATATGATATAATATATTACAATGTAATATAAGTACAATTATATGTATATATAGATACAGTAAATCATACTGGTATGACATTGGACAGCTGGGTCCTTGTTCCAGTAGTAGACCTTGCCGTCTTTGCGAGACTTGACCCTGATCCACCTTGGGCTATGATCTCAGAGAATCTCTCACCAACTCCATGCATGGATACTCAACACCACCAAGGTATTTGGATGGGATTTCTCAATATGTCCAATGAATTCCAAACATTTCAAATATCCTGTAAATAAGCTCTTCTAATATCGAGTACTTGGATTTCTAAGTTGCAAGAGCCACCACAGCGCAGCGATTCCTTTCTGAGTCGTCCACGGAGCAGGTATAGGGGGAAGATCACCAAATTCGTCCTGTCGGCAGAACGGGTGGCGTTTTGAAGCCCTCCTAATAGATGATTTAAAAACCATAAATGCTTGAAATCAGCAACCAGTCAGCAAGTTGGGTATACTTGGGACCGGTCAAAGACGGCACAGGAATTTCCCCTTAAAACTTACATTTATAGGGAATATCCCATTGCCATCATTGATTACCGTAGGTTATCCAAAACGGTGGGACAGCCCGGCACTGGATTCCGAAGAGAAGGACGAACGGAACAACCTTTAGGGGGGTCAACACCTGAAACATACACCCCGAAAACGAACATGAAACCCAATCTTATCAATTTCCGTCAGAAAATCTTCCAACCACCATCCTTGGGATTCTTCTTTGTTTTCCAGCAGGCCACAACACCCGTATTGGCCTCCTGTTCCGCTTCCCAATCTCGCACAGTCTTGGCTTTCCTCAGGGCGGATTCCAGCTCTGGGCGAGGATTCTCATAAAAAAACATACTCCATAGTGTGATTCCTCTCAAGCACCAAACCGTTTTCCCAAGCATATGGGGGGTTCTTAAGTCAAGGGGGATCCCCAAGTCACGATGTTTGTTTCAATACTATGTCATGGCCTAATGACTTGGATGATTTGGGGGTAGCACCATTTTAGGAAACCACCATATCATGGTCCGTTGCGTTTCACGCATTGTTTTGGGAGTTACTCCAGTCGAGTTTATCCCACCAGGCTGATCGGTTAACCGCACCAAAAAAATGTTGACCCTCCAAAATCTTGCGTTTATTCATGTTTATTCAATGCTTCCTACTAAGTCAAAAAATCAGCTCACCTTCCATTCACAACCCAGAAGATATCGACTCGGCCTGGCCGCCCTCAGGTTTCCATGAGGTTTCCCAGTCAACTCTTCCAACATATGTCACTCCTTTTACCCACTTCTGATCGCGGTCGAACCAGCAAAATGTCCTCAAATTGGAGATACCGTACAGTAGGATGCTGTATTAGTAGCCACTTCAGCCGTTCTTTTTCCCATATGATTAGTGAAATTTTGTGAACACCGTGGAGGGCGCAACGCCGCCCCTCTTTCTCCATCCCTCTTTCGTCAAGAAACGCTGGCGAACTTTCTAAGGCTGGAGCCTCCTGGCCAGAAGCCACCAAAGAACATGGGCTATATAGGCTATAGGCTATAATAGGGATATAATGGGGATATAATGGGCTATAATTTGGGGAATATAATTACATGGGCTATAATGGGATATAATTGGGATTTGGGGAATATACAGTAACACCATGTCACAGCCATCAGAATCATAATGATGTTTTGAACTTGTTTCAATCATGGGATTTGGAGCGCATACATGGGAACTTATCACCCAACAAGATATAATATGAAATGATCAATCAACGGATTGGTTTAGTTGGGAAGATCTATATACAGGAAACCATGGCAGGTTTACCCATCAAGGGGCGGTATCCTGCAAACAAATAACTTCAACCATTTCCAGGAATCAAATAACAAAGGGGGGTGCGGTGGTAAACCATGGGATTTACATGCATTTACCGTCATTTTATTGGGATTTAACCATCGAAGAACCATGGAAATGGGTTGGTTTGAAATGGTGGATATCCCAATGTATGGCAATTGTGAACGGAGAAATGATGATAACGCATGGGATTTGGGTGTATTTTTTTGAGACAGTTCCATATCAAAGTCATGCACATTTACCACTCTCTCTCTCTATATATAATCACATATACATATACATATACAATATATACGTAATATATATATATATATTACGTATATATTTATATTCTAATTACGTCGGCTTCTATCTATCTATCTATCTATCTATATATATATCATTATATATCTATCTGTATCGCTCCGTGATGAACACCGCCAGCACCAGTAATTCTTTAATTCTTGGGCAAGGGTGGTCTGTCGTGAAGCCGCAGCAGGTTTTTTAGCCTCTGAGTTTTAGCCCATTTTCCAAACGATTCAACCATGGCTACACCATACTACACCCTTTTCATGCAATGTTTGACCCATAAACCTAAAAATTGCCAGGTCAAACCAAGCTTCACAACTAGTTTCTAAGTCATTGATGTGCATTTGGGTGCGTCTGAAATTAATAGATACTCTAAAACGACACTTTTAATTGGAACAATATGGCAAAATGATGACCAATCATCAAACTTCATCCAAAACCATTGACATAATCGAGCTCCCAATGGTGCTTCCCCCCAAACGCCGACCTGACCTTAGCCCGGGCAGTGGGAGCCGTCCCAGCCGGCGCAGTGTCTTGGGTCAAGTACCAGGCATCTGGAGCCTGGTGTGATCATCTATCTATCTATCTATCTATATACATATCTATATATATATAATATACACATGGGTTATATATGGGCTGGTAAAACCACCTACTACTAGGATTTCTCCAAGCCATTTGAGGTAAATTGATAGCAACAAAGGGGGGAACATTGGTAATTTCACTTTTTTATCCTGCCATTTTCTCTTCCTTGTAGGGTGTTGGCAGCAACCCTGATGAGGAATACCGGGATACCGTTTCCTGGCTGAGCTTGGTCTATCTTATTTGGTCTATTGTGTTTGGCATGATCGTAAATCCAAATTAGATACTTCCTGTATATATATATATATGTATGTATATAAATAAGTATATATAATTAAGTATGCATATATATATATGATATATATATATATATGTATGTATACACATTATATCGATATTGTTTTTGGTATATTCCGTGCTTGGTGTCAACATCCATTTTTTTTGAACTCGCCTCACCAAAACAGAGCACGCCTTTGATGCTGGTGACCTCGGCGAGCTCCCGAAACTGGTCATCAAACATAGCCAGTTTTGATGGGATTTAAATCACGATTTAAATGGTGATTTAATGAAGAGTGGTGGGATCGTTTTAATGGTTTTATGGGATTTAATGGGATAGAAGTGGTGATTTAATTTTGTGTGGAATATCATGGGATGTAATGGTGATACACTCTGGAAAACTAACAGTTTGCTATGGAAAACCATCATTTTCGAAATCATCTACAAGTGGTGGATTCTCCATATCTATGTTGGTTTAGTGGATGCCATGAACCAATTGGGAAATGATGACAATAAACCAGTTAATCATCACATGGGATAGTGAGACATGATCTGAACAAATGGGATACCCCAATAAACCATCTGCATCATGCACCCCTATCATTCCAGCGACGTCGCGGCGTGAGGTCGTATAATGTATCCAGATTCTTACCCACTATACCACCATTTTGTCCCATTCCCCATAAAGGTTGGTTAAATTTCCATAGCTATGGAATTTGGGCAAAGATTTCAGTATTGACCACAGATTTTCACGAAATCCATGGATATTGGTAAATATTGTAGAATAGTGATCTCATGACTTCCATGAAGATTGTCTTGCATTGTACAATTCCATCATGGTAATGCACTTCCAACAACCTAATTCAGTGAAGCCGGCTCTTATCCTGATGTGTGCTTGACTCATCTTAAAATATCTTCAATCAAAATAGAATCACGAAACTCCAACCATAGTGTTCTGGTCCATCTATGGGAATATGGGAAAAT